GCTGGATCCCTTGTGTTGCGGGTGCATGAAGGGCCCCCGCCATGATCAGGGCCCTGTTGTGCCAGGCGCTGCATAAACACAGAGTGAAGAGAGTCCCTGCCCCTGGGAGCTCACTAAGGAAAGTGAATCTGTCTGTGCCTCAGTTTCCCTCTGTGTAGAATGGGGATAAAGACCCCTCTCTGCCTCCCAGGGGGCTGACTCCCTTCCTGTGTGGAGCTCGGGCCCTGTGGTGCTGCGCGCCAGAGACCAGCCCATAAGTCGCTTTGTGCTCAGGCGGGGCAGATGCAGGGAATGAGGCCGGGGCCACACACGGGCAGATGAGGACCCAAGAACTAGGCAGCTGCAGCTCGGTGTCTGTGGGGCTGAGAGCCCAGCTCGCAGGGCTGGGATTCTGGGAGGGGGGGGGGAACTCTGGGATCTGGGAGAGAATCTCTGCCTGGGGGTCTGTGGATCTACCCAGGGCTGGGGCTGGTTGGGGAGGCCGGGGCTGGGTGGGTGCCCGGGTCTGGCTCTCACAGCCTGTCTCCTGTGCCCAGATCCCAGCTTACCCAGACCCTCCATCTCTCTGAGCCCCACTGGGGTCACCGCCCCAGGGGCAAACGTCACCATCCGGTGTCAGGGGCAGCGCCGGGACGTGAGGTTCTTCCTGCACAAGGCTGGAGACCTGAACCCGCAGCGACATGTGGACCCTGCTGGGGACAGGGCTGAGTTCCACATCCCCACCGTGGGCTGGCAGCATGGAGGGAGCTACAGCTGCAGCTACCGGCCCCAATCAGAGCCCTTCGTCTCCTCAGAGCCCAGCGACTCTGTGAAGCTGGTGGTAGCAGGTGAGGAGCCTGGCTTGGCGTCCCCGCTCCCAGCCCCACAACCAGCCAGAACCTCGGGGGGGTCTCTGCACCAATCGGACACTCAGAGCCAGGCTTGGGCTCAGCAGAGGGGATGCCCGGCCGGGGAGGTTCCCCACTAGTGGGGAGAAGCAGCCAGTGGAGATTTGGGGCAGAGGAAGGGGGATGGGGGAGCTGCAGACCGGGGGGGCCTTTCCCAGACAACACATCAGTTACGGGATGATGAGTGGAGCTGAAGGTTATAAACCTAAGTGTATAGTAGAGACTTGCATAGTCCCCTACAAGTCAGTGGTGGTGCTGTGCACAGAACCCAGGAGTCCTGGCTCCCAGCCCCCCTACTCTAACCACTAGACACCACTCCCCCCCACCCCCACCAGAGCCAGGGATAGAATCCAAGAGCCCTGGCTCCCAGCCCTCCCAGCAGAGAAGCCAGGGAGTGCATGGAGCCTGGACTGGCCTGTCTCCTGCTAGGGAGCAGAGCTCTGGGCCCCCAGGGGCTGGGGTTGCTCCGTGTCTCATGCTGTTAGCCCAGGGCTCAGAGGAAACTGGCCCCTGTGGAAAGGCATCCGGGAGCCCGTCCCCAGGGCCGCCGGGTCTGACCCACCACTGAGGCCACGTGGTGAGGACGGGCCCCAGGACTCATGGCCTGTCTGCTTCCCACTGCAGAGCCCAGCTACCCGAAACCCAACATCTCCCTGAGCCCCAGCGGGGGGATCTCCTTGGGGGGAGCTGTGACTGTCCGGTGTCAGGGGCAGCACCGGGGCATGCGGTTCATGCTGAATAAAGAGCGACGCCATTTCCCACCTGTGGATTCAGACGGGTTTGGGGCTGTGTTTCCCATCAGCAACGTGAGCCGGGAGGATGGTGGGAGCTACAGCTGCTCCTATCACAGCAGATCGGAGCCGTTCAACGTGTCGTACCCCAGCGACCCCATGGAGCTGGTGGTGAGAGGTGAGGGGCCCGACTCAGCCTCCCCGTTCCCAGCCCCACCCCCAGCCAGACCCTCACAGGGGCTCGGTGCCAATGGGACGCTCAGAGCCGGACTCTTTCCTGAGCCCTGACCCCACAGAGGGGACGCCCGGCCGGGGAGCGGGGATGGAGTCATTCGGGTTCCCCAGCCAGGGGGGAGCAGCAGCCCCTGGTGACTCGGGGCAGGGAGGCAACTTTAACGCTGCCCCTTGTGCATAGGAACCAAGAGTCGCTATTTAATCCCATGATCCGTGGTTGTGGTTCCCAGGGTCTGGGGCTGGCTGTGGGGGATGGGGGCACTGATTCTGGGTGGGTGGGGCCAGACATCAGCGGGAGGGGCAGCCCCCTAAGGCCCTGGGCATCGCCCGAGTGTCGGGCGCAGCAGATGACGTACCAGCCTCCCCCAGCGAACGCTGCCTGTCTATGTTTGGCAGCAGCCGAGATACCCCGGGGATGAGCTCACTGCACAGCAGACAGGCCGTGGCAGAGGTACCTGCGGGGATGGACAGAGGGGTCCTATGGGGTCAGGGAGCTGGGGTGGTTCCCTGTTCTGGGGGGCTAAGACCCTGAGACTTTCATTGTCCCCATCCCCTGGCCTGGTGCTGGGGTGCTGGGTGTCTCAGGGGCAGTTCATCCACCTGGGAGCCCCCTTCACCAGGGAAGCTGAGGCTCAGACCCCAGGGGCGCAGGACACAGCCTCCCCTGAGGGGGTACAGCCCCGAGGAGGCCCCAGAGCCGTGGTGCCTGGGAGACCCCCAGAGTGGGGCTGGGCCAGATCTGCCGGAGGGTTGGGGGCTTCGCTCCGGGGCACTGCCAGCTGCTGATCTCCCCATCCAAGCTGCCGAGTGACTCTTCCCTTCTCCCCACAGCAGCCCCCCCAGATTTCACCAACGCCAACATCGTCCGTCTGGGGCTGGGTACCGCGGTCCTGCTCGTCCTGGGGCTGATCCTGGCTGAGGCCTATTACAGCCGCCCAAGGGGGGCGCCCTAGATGAAGTGACCCCCCCTTCTGTGCCCCTTGCTCCCCCCAGGGGCTGGGCCCAGGGTGACACGGGCCCCCCTAACCCGCTGTCTCTCTGAGCCCCCAGAGCCTGGATCCGGCCGTGCAGGGAAGAAAATCTCCCCGGGGGACAAGTGGATTCTCCGTGGGTTGGTGAGACGCCGGCACAAACCCCCTGCCTCCAAACACCCCTGCCTCGGAGAATCCCCCCACCAAACAGCTCCCGACCTGACAGCGGTGTGACGGGTTCGGTCACAGAGACCCCCTTGGGACTGTTACCTGATGTGCTGAGATGACCGCTGAGCCCATTTTCCCTGCCAGTTTGGGCCTCCAGAAACCTGCCCTGTTGAGCCGGACACGCTATGTCTGCTGCAACACAGACCCAGGGTCTGAACCACGCCCCCAAAGCTGCAGACTTAACTGAAAACAGCTTAAGAAGTGCTCTTGTCTTCATCAGCCAGACACCCAGTTCCCAATGGGATCCAAACCGCAGATAAATCCGTTTTACTCTGTATAAAGCTTATACAGGGTAAACTCATAAATTGTCTATAACACTGATAGAGAGATATGCATAGCTGTTTGCTCCCCCAGGGATTAATCACTTACTCTGGGTTAATTAATAAACAAAATTAAGTGATTTTATTAAGTATAAAAAGTAGGATTTAGGTTGTTTCAAGTAATAACAGACAGAATGAAGTAAGTTACCAAGTATAATAAAACAAAACTTGCATGTCTAAGCCTAATATATTAAGAAACTGATTACAGATCAATCTCACTGCAGAGATGTTCCAAAAAGCTTCTTTCACAGACTAGACTCCTTCCTAGTCTGGGCCCAATCCTTTCCCTGGTACAGTCCTTGTTAGTTCCAACGCAGGTGGTAACTAGGGGATTCCTTATGACTGGCAGCCCCCTTTGTTCTGTTCCACTCCCTTTTATAGCTTTGGCCCAAGTCGGGAATCCTTTGTCTCTCTCTGGGTTCCCACCCCTCTCTCTAAATGGAAAAGCACCAGGTTTAAGATGGATTCCAGTTCAGGTGACATGATCACATCTCACTGTAAGACCTCCTTCTTCATAGCCTAGTACAGGAGTAGGCAACCTATGGCAACCTATGGCACACGTGCCAAAGGCAGCACGCAAACTAATTTTCAGTGGCACTCACACTGCCTGGGTCCTGACCACCGGTCTGGGAGGCTCTGCATTTTAATTTAATTTTAAATGAAGCTTCTTAAACATTGTTAAAAATCTTATTTACTTTACATACAACAATGGTTTAGTTATGTATTGTAGACTTATAGAAAGAGACCTTCTAAAACCATTAAAATGTATTACTGGCACGTGAAACCTTAAATTAGAGTGAATAAATGAAGACTCAGCACACTGTCACGGAGTATTGGGGGACTCAGGGCCCTGCACCCCCGGCTTCCTGCGATTCACCATGACTCTCAGCCAGCCAGTAAAGCAGAAGGTTTATTTGGATGACAGGAATACAGTCCAAGACAGGTCTTGCAGGCACAGACAACAG